CCAGATGACAGCCCCCATCATGACCAGAAGCAGAGGAACCTTCAGGAAAACCAGGAGCAGGAAGTGGACACTGCTTAGTAGGGACCTGAGGGGGGGAAAATGACAAGAAATGAGGCACCTCCCTGGCCCCCTATCTCAAGCCCCTGGGCCCATCACCTGTGTGTCCCCAGACAGTCCTTAAGTGTCCCCCAGGACAGCCCCTGAGGCTCAATCATCCGGGTCCTGCTCCACCCAACGAACCCATCATGGTGGGAGAACTTGGGGACTCCTGGTGAACTGGGGTGGGCCCTGTATGATGCCATTGGTTTATCCTTTCTCCCTTGCCACAAGGAGCTTAGGTTTATCGGGTTATACCTATCACAGTGCTTCTGAGTCATTCCCATTTCATTGTTTATCTGTAACCACTTCTCTATACTCTCTTCCCTAACCAGTTAATCTGTTTTCCCCCCTAATCAGACTCTGTTAATTTGTAAAGTCAGACCCTTCTAGAACACTGAACTTGTATTGTAAGTTAATATTGCCTTTCTCATCTCCTTATATCTTTTGAATAGTTTACTTTAAAGCAATGTCCTTTTGTATAGATTCAGGAGGACAGTTAATATTATGCTTTTGTAATTTAGGATTTAATTGGCTTCGAATATTATTCACTCCCGGGCATCTACTTTCTTGACTTAAGCCTCAGTTGCCCTTAATTCCTAGCACCCCAAAAGCAGGGTCCTGACGAGGGACTGGATGGACCCAGGGCAAGTTGAGAGCTACCCTGGCATTGAAATGGGCCAGGCCAAAGTGCCACAATTCTTAACTATAAATTAAGAGCTTGATCATGGACAAATGCTGTCATGATCCAAAAGTAACGAGACTAGGACCCTGCTAGGGATAGGAGAGACTAATCTGGTCTGAGCACTGTAGTCTGAGATCGAGATGGCCCTAGGAGAGCAATTCTATAAGCTTAATGTATCTCTCATTGTGTCCATACAAAATGATTAATATTATAAATGCTTATATGTTTGTTGGACAAGGAGAGGAGAAACACACCGATGGGATTCCGCTCTAGGGTGGGTCGACCTGATAATGAGATTCTGTCCCAGAAGCGGCTTTTCCCGAGGGAAAGAACCTTACCCCTATTGATTGTGACCATACCTATGTGTAAATCCCAAACCCTCATGACTTTGGGATTTAACTAGACTGTAAGAGTGGGCTGGGAGATCCAGATTCCAGAGCCAGGAGGAGATGGAGAATGAAGGGGGATCGAGAAGGAGAGTAAAGTAGCATGGGGGAGGAAGAAGCAGGAGGAGAATCGGAGGAGAATGGAGATGGGAATGGAATAAACTGCAACTGACACCAACCAGCCTGGCCCTCGTTCCTCCATCACCATCAACCTCCCAGAGGTCGGGGAAGCAGCCTGAGACGACTGAACGTGGGCAGCGGGAGTGATAAAGCGCTGCTGCCCCCCTTTTTGTATTTACAAAGCCCAGTGGGACCCCAGACAGGGCCCCTTCTCCCAGATCAGGTACGACTCACCTGAGAGGCCGCAAAAGAGGAGCAGGAGCTTGAGCGGCCGCATCCTCTCACCAGAGGCTGGGGTGTGGGCACAGCCAGTGGACAGACGCAGACCCTCACCTCTCTCCTTCTGCTCTCTCTCTCTCTCTCTCTCTCTCTCTCTCTCTCTCTCTCTCTCTCTCTTTCTCCCGCTCTCTTTTGCTTACTCCTGCAATCACTTCCACCTCCCGCAACACAGAAAAAGAGGAAGGAGGCCTGGAGACCCAGACAGGAGCCCCCCCCCCCCCGCCCCCGGAAGTTCATGTCCTTTACCAGACTAAAGCTTAGCATCCAGTTTCGACGCCTGGGGTGCCACAGCACCCCTAGGTCCTGCCCCTTCCATCTGTGGCTCTGCCATCTCTGCCTGACGCCTTCCTCCAGGATAAAGCTGCTGGCTGGAAGGTGAGAACATTTCGAGCCTGAGAAGGATCCTGGACCATTGGGGAGCACTTCTGTTGCAGGCAGGAAAGTAGACAGGGAAGGGTCCCCATGGCAATGGGATTCCTAGGGTGTAGTAAAACCACCTAAGGCCACCAGGGCCCACCTTGTGAGCACAGGAACTCAGGCCACATAAGGCTTTCACCTGGCACCAGTAACAGACCCAGAAAAGGCTGAACCCCCTCTGAGAGATACTCCAACAGGAACAAAGGCCAGTAAAGAAATTTCAAAGAGGACCATAGACTATTCCCAACTCTACCCCCTTGGAAGTAACCCTAGCAACGGACTCTAATCTTGCTAGAAAGCCCCACATTAGGTAGGTTGGAGGAGCCCTATGAAAGCCATCTTGAACAAAGAAAGGGCGCACTTATGCTGCCCAAACCCATGTGCTGCTTGAGCATATAGTGCTGACCTTCTCAGCTGGTCCTGGGGTGGCACAGGCGAATGGGGAGAAAGTGACCGTCTCTCTCCTCCCCGCCTCACGTGCGGTGCCCCTGCCTTCACCTCAAAATCTTGGGCTCCTTCCCTCAGTAGATCCAGGCTGCCCTGTTTATCCTTTCCAGCAGCCTGCATGCTTCAGAGCCAAGTAGGCAAGACCCCAGACTCTCCGCGGGGGACAGCGGGCAGAGCAGCCAGGGATCCCAGCCGGGGGTGCAGGGGTGGAGGGGTGAGACACTGCTCTATCAGCAGAGCGAGAAGGTCGAGCAAACTGAGAGCCTCAGGAGAAGCAGCAGGAATGCCTGCTAATTGTGCCTCTTCTTCACAAACTCTTTTTGGGAACAGAGAAGCAGGAAGTGCTGTGTGCTCCGTGGCTAGGGAGGAAGGCACACACGGGCTCTCTCCCGGCTCAGCAGGGAAAATGCTTCACGCACTCGCAGACCTGTGGCTGCTGAGACACAGAGGTCTTCGAGGCATGAAGTGGAGAGCATCTCCCCGACAGCCCTGAGCACCCAGCATGTGACCCCGACAGTGAGAGGCTGTGCTCCCACCCCCTCACAGGGGACCCCAGCATGTGACGCCTGCCAGGACAGCAGCACAGGGGCTCCTCCTGAGGGCTGAGCAGAGGCCATCCGAGGTACTTGAGGCAGGGGACAGTCCCCAAGGGACAAGCCTGACCCCAGGGGGCTGCCTGAATGGCCCAAGGCCATTGTAGTGTCCCCACTCAGAGGTTAAAAGAGAAAGAACCTGTCCTGCACTAGAGTCTACCTCCCCACATGTGCTCTCACACACTCACATACACACTCACATATACCAACATGCACTCACACACACCAACACACACTAACACACAAACACTCACACACCAACACACACTCACACAACACCAACACATACACATACTTACATATACAACAACACACACACATACACCAACACATACTCACACATACCCCAACACACACTCATACACTCACACACACCAACACACTAACACATACACCAACACACACTCACATACATTCACATATACTCACACACACCAGCACACACACCAACACACTCACATACCAACACCCACTAATACACACCCACCAACACACACTCAAACATACCAACACACTCATACACCAACACACACATATTCTAACACACCCACAATACTCTGAACACTCACAACCCAATACAGCACTCACACTCACACACCCATACACAAACATACACACCAACAGAAAGTATACATGTGAGTACTGTGTCAGATTCTACACAATTGAAATGTCTTATCAGCACCATTTTCTCTCTTTCACCAGGGGCCGGTGGGATAGAACTGGATGGAAGGCCCTGGCCTTGCCTATGGCTGTGTGGGCCGAGACCCGGCTTCGATCTCTGGCCCTGGTTATGGTCCTCTGAGCATTGCCAGGGGGTACTCGTGAGCACAGAGCCAAAATTAGGCCCAGAACACCACCGGTTGTGGCCCCAGAACAAAAGTGAACAAAAACTCCTTCACAGACTGGGAAGATGACTCCGGGCCGGGGCCTTCGGGGACTCCATGCAGAAGAACTGGAGTATGGGCTTTTTCCCACAACCCCCAGCAACTCTGGGGTGGTCCTGCTGCCCCAGCACTGTTGAGCCCAAGCCTGGAGCACACCCAGGACTCCCTGAACACTGCTTGGGATGCCTCCCCACACATCACTTTATCCACGCATTCACCTATTTACTTCTGGGCATCTTCGGTTGTCGCAATTTTATTTTATTCATTGGATGTGTTAATTTTATGTGTTTTATGTGCCACACCAAGCAATGCTTAGAGCTGAGTCCCGTCTCTGCTCTCAGGAATGACTCCCAGAAAACTTGGGAGACCCTATGTAGTGTCAAGGACTAAACCTGCCTGGACTAGCTCGTGCAAAGCAGCCCTACCTCTTCCCTCTCCAGCCCCTTTTCAGCATCTTTTTACAGGACGTTTGAAACGATGCTCGGCGTTTGTGCATTTCGGAGCTGAGCTGGTACAGAGTAAACCTCGTCAACCTGAGGGAGTCCCCCATCATTTGCCCGTGGAGTGCCGTTGAGTCACCAACCAACTGCACTCACGTGGGCGCTGGTGCAAAGATCCCACCTCCACCCACCTGCCCCCACATATATACACACCCCGTCTCCTATCTTCCTTCCTGTTTCCTGTGTTCACCCATTTACCCACTCACCCATCCACCATCCACTACACCCTTCATCCATTCACCCACCCAACCAACCACCTTACTTGGTTTCATTCCGTTCGGTCACTCACAGGGCAGATATCACCTCTCAGAAACAACACTTCAGAAGGCCAAAGAACCTTCCGGGCACCCTCAAACTCTTTCTTGTCACCCTCCATTCTAATCTGTTTGAGTACACAGGGTTGAACACCCCCTCCAGAGTCCCAGAATCCTACCCCGGATAGATTCTTCGACTTCTTCCCTTCTGTCAGCAAACAAAACACACCACCTGCTTCCCGGCCACCCCTGTCTGCCTCAGTGGGCCTTCTCTGCCTGCACAGGACCCAGCCCCAAGGTTCCGCTCCTGGGCTCTTTGGAGCTAAGATGCAATTGAGGATGACTTCCAGGCTGTGTGACCATCCAATGTGTGACCTTGAGCATCCCCATCAGGATGACTGTCTCTATGGGGGCCCCCTGAGCCTGCAGTGCCAGTATGAGGAGAGATTCAAGGCACTCAACAAGTACTGGTGCCGACAGCCCTGCCTGCCACTTTGGCACGAGACTGTGGAGACACAGGGGCCCAGGGTCGTGGTGAGAACTGGACAGGTGTCCATCACGGACCACACAGAGGAGCTCAGCTTCACCGTGACCCTGGAGAACCTCACTGTTGTCAACACGGGCAAGTACTGGTGTGGGGTTGCAACAATGCTGCAGGAAGAAGACATCTGGGGCTTCCTGCCTGAGCCCTTCGTGCAGGTGCAGGTGCTCATGTCCCCAGGTGAGACCCTCCCACCCGGGGCCTTCTCGGTTCTCAGATTTACAGAAGGCTCAGCTCAGGGGAGAAGGTATGGAGGAAAAGAGAGAGAATGTGGGTGTGTCTGTGTGTGAACGAATGTGAGTGTGAATCAGAGTGGGTGCATGAGTGTAAGCTTGTATGTGAGTGTGTGAGCATGTGTAGAAGTGTGTAAATGAGTGTGTAGATATATGTGTGTACAGGAATATGTGCATGTGTGTGACTGGGAGCGTGTACTTGAGTGTGTGAGTGTATTTGTGAGTGTGTATGTGTGTAAATGAATGTATAGATGAGTGTGCATGTGAGTGCATACATGAGAGTGTGATGTGCGTGTGTACTTGTATGTGAGTATGTATATGATTGTGTACGTGAGTGTGAGAATGAGAGCGTGTATGTGAATGTGTGTAAATGAATGTGTAGATGCATGTGTGTGAGTGTACGTGGTGTGAGTGTACTGATGACATGAGTATGCAAATGTGCGTGAGTGTGTGCATGAGTGTGAGAGAGAACATGTACGTGAGAGTGTGAGCGTGTATGTATATATTAGTCTGTAGATGAGTGTGTCATGTGTGTAACATGGTATGTGTACAAGTGGCGTGAGTATACAAATGCATGAGTATGAACGTGTACATGAGTGTGAGAGTGTGTAGCACACTTGTATGTGCGTGTGTGAATGAGAGAGAAAGGAAGAGAGTGCCTCAGTTCCAGCTCAGGGTCCCAAGGCAACTCTGAAATCAAGGCAGCACCAGCTGAGTCCCGCCTCTGACCTTTGACCTGTGCGAGCTCCTCGCCACCCTCTCTCCCCTGCAGAGGTACGTCCAGTCTGCTCTGGGATCCTGCCCCAGCCACTGCAGTGGGCGTGGCCCTCCCACACTTCTCCACGGCCATGCCTGGAAACTGAGGAACTTTCCATTTACATGCTGGAGAAAGGACGCTCCAGGCATTCTGGCAGCGAGAGACTCCAAGTCTCAAAAATCTCAGTGGGGTGGTTACATTCCCATTTTCAAGTCTGAGATCCAGGGATGCTGGGGACCCGGAGAGGAAGCAATCAGGAAACAGGGAGAATTGTACCTGCTGGGAGGGTGGGAGGGCACCTGCTTCACGGAGGGCACCCGCAGAAAACCTGCACCCCCTCACACACAGAGGGAGCCCTCCAGGAAACAACCGTGGGTGTTATTCCCACGGGGCGACTGAGCTGCCTGGCTTTGGGTCGTGGCTGCAGTGCTACGCTTTGCAGGAGGGGCCAAATTTGGGGTGCTCTGCACTCACTCCTCAGGGCACCACGTGGGGTGCCGGGGTTCAAACCTGGGTCAGTCGCGTGCAAGGCAATTGCCTTCCCCACCGTACTATCTCTCCTGCCCCTTTGCGGGTGTTCTTACCCGTCCTCTCAGCTGTCAGCTCAGCTCTCTGGGTTCAGCACGGGTTTGGAAAAGAGGAAGATTTTTTCTCATGGGGTCAGTGAGAGCGAAGAGACTGTGCAGATAACACAGAGGTGAGGACAGACCCTGCCGGGGGGGGGGGGGGGTCCTCAGCTGGGCTTGTTGCTCAACACCTTGCAATTCCTCCACACAGATGCTTCTGCAGCCTTACTCATTCGCCAGACACGCAATCCCAGGTTGATCCCCGACACCCACAGGTTTCCCCAGCCCAGACAGGAGTGATCCCTGAGCACTGCCAGGGGTGGCTACAAAACTAAATAAAATAAAGGAAACAAAACAAAAGGAAGATGGTGTGAGTCGGCCTCGAGGGGGGTTGCGAGCACTGAGCGTGTACCAAGACAGCCACGTGCGGGGGAGAGAGCGGGAGCAGGCAAGGCAAGAGAGCACTGTGGAGAAATGCAGAGGGAGATGCCGAGGGGGCTGGTTCTGGATGAGCCCCTGGGGAGGAGGGGACACAGCACAGCCAGGACCCCAAAGTGTGCAGGGGGCAGAGCAATAATACAGCAGGCAGGGTGCTTGCTTGCACACAGCCAATCTGGTTTCAATCCCTGGAACCCTGCACCCCAGCAGGAGTGACCATGAGCACAGAGCCAGGAGTAAGCCCTGAACTATGTCAGAAATGGCCCCAAGGAAAGGGATATTTGCCCGGTACACATCTGATAAGGGCTTGATACCAAGGATATACAAAGTACTGGTTGAACTCCACAAGAAGAAAACATCCAACCCCATCAAAAAATGGGGCGATTAAATGAACAGAAACTTTCTCAGAGAAGAAATCCGAATGGCAAAAAGGCACATGAGAAAATACTCTACATCATTAATCATCAGGGAGATCTAGATCAAAACAACAATGAGATATCATCTCATACCACAGAGATTGGCCCAAATAAAAAAGAACAAAAGGAAGCGGTGTGGGCGCAGATGTGGCGAGAAAGGGACCCTCCTTCACTGCTGGTGGAAATGCCAACTGGTTTAGCCCTTTTGGAAAACTGGACACTTCTCAAAAAATCAGAAATTGAGCTCCAATTTGATCCAGCAATATCACTTCTGGGAATATATCCCAGAGAGGCAAAAATGTGTAGTCGAAGTGACATCTGCACTTGTTTGTTCATTGCAGAACTCTTTACAATAGCCAGAATCGAAAAAACCTGAATGCTCGAGAACAGATGACTGATTAAAGAAACTTTGGTACATCTACACAATGGAGTACTATGTAGCTGTTAGAAAGGATGAAGTCATGAAATTTACATAGAAGTGGTACTACATGGAAAGTATCATGCTAAGCGAAATGAGTCAGAAAGAGAGGGACAGACATAGAAAGATTGCATTCATCTGGGGAACATAAAGTAACAAAATAGGAGACTAACACCCAAGAATAGCCAAGATAAGTACCAGCATATTTACTCCATGGTTTGGAGATCAGCCGCACATGCTAGGGGAAAAAGCAGCTCAAATAGAGAAGGGAGCACCAACTAAAGGGTGTTGGGAGGTTCCTCTCAGGATGGGAGATGTGTGATGAGAGTAGACTATAGACCAAACATGATTGCCATTCAATGCCTCTTTTGCAAACCCCAGCACCCAAAAGGAGAGAGAAAACAAAAGGGAATGTCCTGCCACAAGGGTGGGGTGGGATGGGGGGGTGGGAGGGATGCTGGGAGCATTGGAGGTGGGGAATGGGCACTGGTGGAGGGATGGGTACTCGATCATTGTATAACTGAAACCCTAGCACAAAAATTTGTAAGTCTACAACTGTACCTCATGGTGTTTCAGTAATAAAAATTAAAAATAAATAAATAAGTAAACTTTATTATTTAGTAAATTTCAACTCTAGCATTGTATCAATAGTTGTTGCTTTGGGCTGTATTAAAATAAATTTAAAAATAAAAATAAATTTTAGGGGGGTATGGTGCCACCAGCAGGTCAATCTGTACCTATGAGGTGAGTGCATCAGCAGCCTGTTGGCGCCTTCAGACTTCCCAGATACACCAAAATTGCTGCTGTACCTTTGGCCAGACCCCAAAAACTTGGGGCAAAGTTTACCAAGAAAGTAAACGGCCAAAAGCTAGGTATGTGGGAAACACACCCACAAGCCACTTCCGGCTCAGCTATATAAATGGAGGCAAGGCCTCTTTGGTTCCTGATTGAACTGCTTAATGGACATGATCCCAGAGACTCAGAAACGAATCTCAGAACCCAGTGGCTTTAGGTAGAAATGCATCTGGTCTCTGCAGTAGGCTACCAGTGCTAGGCCAACCCAGGTGGAAATAGGTTTCGTGCCTTGGCCTGTTTCCCCTGGCGGCCCAGTGGCCGCCATCCATCTGAGGCCACTGGACAGTCACATTTGGGCCCCCAGTGACAAGACACACAGGGCCTCACGGGATGGGGGTGGAGCCGGGCTTGTCCTCCCCACCCCAACGAGACCCCAAGTCATCGCCCATGAATGGCCTCTCTGACTCCTGATCAAGCTGCTTAACGGCCATGATCCCAGAGACTCAGAAACAAATCTCGAAACCCAGCGGCTTTTGGCAGAAATGTGTCCGGACCCCGCAATAGGTTACTGTCGCCGGGCCACCCCAGGGGGGAATGGGTGCTGTCCCACTGCCTGCTCCCTCTTGGCGACTTGGTGGCTGTCATCCTCCAGAGGCCATTGGACAGTCAGGCTTGGGCCCGCAGTAACGAAACTTGTTGGGCCTCACGGGATGGTGGGTGTGGAGCCGGGCCTGTCCTCCCCACACCAACGAGACCCCAAGTCATTACCCACGAACGGCCTCTCTGGCTCCTCATCAAGCTGCTCAATGGCATTGATCCCAGAGACTCAGGAGCAGATCTCTAAACCCAGTGGCTTTTGGCAGAAATCCCTCCAGATTTAAGTGTTAAAATTTCGGAATTTCAAAACCACATGGCCCTACTGCAGCCACACGACATCATATATTATTCATAACCAGCAATAGAACACAAATTGTCTATTGTTGCCTTTTCAGCAGATCTGAGCGTTGGGGTAAAATCTCAAATAATGGTGGGTCTGGTGTCGAAATAGTGAATGTGATCAAAGTAGAGAGAGAGTAATGTGGAAATCATCTGCCCCACAGGCAGGGGGAGGGTGTGGGATGGGGTTATACTGGGATTTTTGGTGGTGGAGAATGGGCACTGGTGAAGGTACGGGTGTTTCATTGTATGACTGAGACTTAGACCCAAAAGCTTTGTAACTGCTCTCATGGTGATTCAATAAATAAAATTATAAAAAATGGGGGAAAAAAGTAAGGTGGAGTTCATGCACAATTCAATCAGCTAATCAGTGGCTGAATAAATAGCAGCACTCCTACAAAAAAAATATAAAAAAATAAAAATAAATTTAAAAAAAAGTAACAGCCCCAAAACCTAAAACAAACAAACAAAAACAGAGTGTATCCAGGGAGGAGAGGCCAGCAGGTGCAGGGGCTCTGACGGGAACCCCTGTCCCCATTAGCACCTGGAGCAGGAGCAGAAAAGCAGGACAGGACATGACAGGGTGGGGGACAGCACAGGGACCCCAGTATTGCCTCCCCGTCCCCAGCAGGCCATGCTGTAGTAGGAACCGAGCAGTTCAGAGCTCCGCCCCATCCTAGGGGCTCTCCGAGGAAAGGTTCCGGGTCATATGCATCTGGACCCCCACCAGCCCGAACCCCCCTGGAGTGGGGATCCCCTGTCTGCCAGAGACCCGCTTCCCAGCCCCCCTTTCCTTGGACTCTATCTGACCTCACTTTTCTGCCTCTCTGTGGACGGGTGCGGGTATCCCCAACCCCAAGGGGCACAGCTGCCCTGGGACCCGTGCGGCTAAAAGTAGAAGTCGGGGTGTCTGGGATGGTTCTTTGGGCATGTACAAGCTGACCACGAGGAAGTGACATGGTGATGTGTGTGTGAGGGGAGTGGGAGGGCCTCTCAGCTGTGGGCACCCAGGGGAGCCAAAACCTTCTCCAGAAGCTTCCTGCCCAGCAGCTGAGTCAGCTTGGAGTGGTGGAGGCTTGAGACCCGCCAGAGAAGTGGGGACATGGGAGCTGTTCCTCACCTCCGCAGAACCCCACACAGCCTGCCACTTCGACCAACTCCCCGCTGCACAATGAGCACGTGGGTGTGGGCCCCGTGGCTGCCCTGGGCACTGCTCCTCATCCACGTCCCAGGTGAGCGCTCAGGGGAACGTGGCAGCCGTGGAGGATGGGGTGGCACAGAAGCTTCCAGAACTGCTTTCAGGTCACCATCCAGACACAAGGGCCCAGTGTGAAGAGGTGAATTGGACTGGCAGGGAAAGAAGCGCAGTCAGACCTTAGAAATGGTGACCTGAAGACACACACACACACACATACAGCAAACACACACATACATACACACCACTCACACACACACCAGACAAACACACACACCAAACTCATACACATAGGCACACACCACTCAGACACACACGTAGACACACTCTACTCACACACAC